CGCTGACTATAAACTTTTGATTCGTACTGACAGAGCGCGGAGGCAAGGAAGTAAGAAGACATGCGTCCTTTAATTTCACGTTCTATTATGACTGTTTTAAAGTTGTAAGATAATACTGGTCCTGTGCCGTTTGATGGCTTAAACGAAACCTGCACTGAGTTGTGATGGCGATGACGATGGCAGTGACGAAGGTCAGGTTATGAAGATTGCGGTGTCTCTAATGATGGTGACAAATATTCTGATAATTTGTCATTCTTAGCATATTCCGTTTGCTCTTCGTTTTCATGCTCATTATAATCAGAGACAAGCATACATTTATAGATTTTTTACCTTACTGTACTATCGTGCCTATTTAAGAAGCTTGTGATTCTTTCACGGAGCCGAGGACAGGACCAGAAATTTGCATGGAAATTCGATTGGGCATGAATGCTAAGTTAATTTTCTATTATCATTCTGTAATAACGGATTGTGTACGTGTTGAATGTTTGGAAATCGAACTCTTCGCTCTATATAAGCACTCTGAGCAAGTCACTAATTTTCGCCTGCGCAGTGTTATCATTGATGAAGTGATGAACGAGGATTTTGCCCAAATTAAGAATTACGGTTTTCGTGATTATTGGGATCGTATGTCAGTACTCCTCCTTCAACGGTCTCCTATTCAACGCATTTAAAATTGCCGAATGGATTTGCATGATGTGAAACACCAAGAATTTAACCGTCCTCGATCTGTTTTATACTCTGCCTGTCAATAGTAGTCCAATGTCAAAGTGTCAAATACTTAGGTGTGATTTTGTCATCTGACTTCATCTGGCATTCAGATGTTCAGTTGCTGCAGCTATGTGTTGTACGGCTTTGTTTTTTATTGTAAAGCGTCCGAAAATTCTCCATGATGCCATCAGGAAATTTGTTTTTATATTTATTCTCTCATGATATACATACATGCATCTGCAGTCATCTTTCTAGGTCTGCTAACATACGATTTCATGATGCTAAAGTGATCACTGATAGAAATCTCTAACATCAGTGACCTGTGACACATTGGTCTACGGAGGCAATGGTTGATGTAGCGGTCTTGCATGGCACTCACATGGGTATTAACATCCTGCAGAATAGCAGTCATCCATTGCATGCCGATCCTTGCAAGTGTCTTTCATGAACCTTATCCACTAGATATAAACACCCTTATTGCTTTTGTCAAAACAGAACTGCGTCTAGGATCTATAATCCCAGCTTCATTGCACACTCTACAAAGTCATATAGACGTCGACAACGATGCTTGAATTAGTTTTTTTTCTTTTTGGTCTGTATTATTTTTATTTCGTAGTTTCGAAATCCTAGATTACTTATTTTCTGTTTTGTGACTTGCGATACGTCACGTGTTTTCTTTTTCTGCTGAAAAATGGAATTTTTTGGCGATCCAATGGAAACACTAAACTATTCGTTTATTCATGGGCTTGGATTCGAAGCAGATGTATAGATCTTGTTAAGACTGTGAAGAAGAAACTTCTCAGTCATCGTTTATGGCCTGACAACGATTTTCGTCATAGTGTCGTTGTTGCTGGCGTTGCCAAAGAATACGTTGTGACGTAAGCGAGACGAATTTTTGGTACAAGACTGAAAAGTCTGCTTCGAACTCCAGAGTTGCTGGGTTCAATTTCTGCTCTAACGCGATCTTTGTCTTATTCACGAGTTTCATTCAGTAAGGCATTTACTACAAATTGCTTCAGACCGGGGTTGCAAAATCGGTAGAGCATCGAACACAGAACCGACAGGTCCCGAGTTCAAACCTCTGTTATGGTCACTCGCTCTTCTTGCTTTCGAGGAATAATGTGGGAAGGAAATAGAATACTGCACGCTACGATGAATATGGATTCTGATTTTAAAAAAATAAGGCATTTTTGACTAATGGTATAGAAAAGGAGATCCGCCCTGCACCATGAATTTCATGAGAGGAAGAACGACGGCTTCAAAATCACCCAATCATGACAGTGAGGGAAGACCTAGTTCGGAAACCGTAGTTACGAAACATTCGGAAAACGTAGTTATACTATTGCAGGTATTGTTGACAAGGGCATTGTCAAATGTTTTTTGCCTGCTAATGAGAATCGGAAGAACGTCAAAAGGCAAATGACCGCCAACGTTCGACTAATTGTTTCCAATTACGTCGCCAGATCGCATTTGAATCTATCACTGTTTCACTACGCGCTGTCAAACATGAAGCTAAAGGAAAATCACTTGATTGTCTTATCAACGGAAAAAACTTCCACAACCGTAATAATGCCGAAAAAAGAATACGAATGTTATACAGTAAGCCAGTACATTAACTTTTTTGTCCAAAGGCTTAGTTTTTACGGTGAAATTGTAGGTTTTCATTTTGTTTATCATCGGTGCCAGGTAACGCATATTGTGACCCCTATGTCAAAGACGTAAAGCGTTAATACTTTCGTTCCTTAGATTGATGGGTCTGATGAAACAAGTTGTCTCTTTCACACGTCCAATGGTTTGCCTTTAAACCGTCAGCTGAAGAACTGGACTGAGAGAGCGTCATGGGCAGGAACCTTTTTAGTTGTGGCTCTTTCTTCGGTGTTAAATGCCCACTACAGTTTGGTGTAATTTTATGCGTAGATATCAAGCCATATGCTATTTGCGTCTCACAGCCGGTGTAACAGACGTCCTTCAAGATCGCCCTTTGCTTGGCGAGAAACATGTTAGGTAACGTATCGTCGCACTCAAACGACGAAACAGACTTTTGACCTTTACGCCAAGTTAGAAGTTTGCCGACGTATGATTGTCTCGCTCTGAACATAAATTGCTTGCAGGAAGCCTGTCGGAAATCGGACATGATTCTGAAAAATAAAAGGAGTCATTCGATGTAACACGTATGCCCACAATCACACGCATGATTTTGTGCATTACTGCGAATGATTAAATTCTAAAGGCGGCTAGTGATTGGATATCATTAAGCGAAATGATTGATGGATTGATTGAAATGTTACATAGAGATATGAAAAATTGATAAAGACCGATTCTTCGTATTTACCCTTATGCCACCTTACTTCAGTCGTTGTTCTCACTTAACAAAAGCAGTTTAAGTGACAGCATAGTAGGAATACTAACAAATAAAGATCAGTGTACTAGACGCTGATACTTTGAGAAGAAACTTTTAGTCCTTTACGTAGTATACGATAAAAAGTAGAATATTCGCCAAATCTTGGTTTCGGCTATGACATATTCACTTTACTATGCACAAATGTAATTTCGGAAACCTTGACGATTCATAACAAGGAAAAATTTAATCCTTGCTCATAATGGCAAAACAGTTGGTTCCTAATAATTCGAAATAAACATTATAAAAAAATACTGTTCTTCGAAATAATCGTTTCTTTTATTCCTTATCTACTACTTTCACCATCTAGCGTTCACTCATCGGGGTCGTTTATTCTGTATTGCGTCAGGCTCCCATTCAAGAGGTTCCATGTTCGAACCCTTGTCGACGTTTGTCACCTTTCTTCCTTCCGAGTTGATACATGAGTACCATTCTGTAGCAAGGACGCAGGGGACTTCACACTTTGCTTGCTACACAGCCGTTGAAGTGAGACACTCCTGACTGATGTAAATGGAAATGGATATCAACGCACCACCTTTAACTTCATGCGAAGAAGGGCGCTGCAAATG